TCTAAACCACATCTACATCAGTGATTACAGCACTTTCTAAATCGCCTGCAACCTCCCTGATGCAGCAATTTAAATGTTTTTTCTTAATCTATAATCGGGAATTATATGTTAACTGCACAAGATAGTGGCTATAAAATAATAACAGCATCAGTGTTTAGACTGATGGTGCAGAAAATGAAGAAAATGAGGGCTTAATTGTGCTTCCAAAACTAGAGTAAGACAGAGCCTGTGTTTTCCTGGTAGCTATTTTCATCCATTTTCACACAGATTAGAGAAATGTTGGATGCTGGGAGAACCAGAGTAACTGTGGAAACTCAACACAGCAAAAGAAGCGTCCTGTTGTTGTAAGAGCCAATAAAAGCAAAGCGGGAGAGTGATAGAAGAATAAAACTCTTTCACGATGGAAGGAGCTCTGGGACTATAGCGGAGTCTAAACTGACATTTAGCTGGCATTATTTCTACTCAAGAAAGAAAAACTTGCAGTCTGAGCAGGGGATGTTTTTAGAACTGAAAGCAGTCATTTCTTTATGATAGTGTCCCAGAAGGGAGAGCAGGAGAAAAGGTGTTTACTCCAAAAACTTGGAAAAATGGCTCACTAAAAAAAATAAATACAATAATAATGTGTTAGTCTAGTTTCTATTCAGTCCTTTTTAACCAGTTCAAAAAGAAAAAAAGAAATCTGTGCAGATTTCTTTTTGTAGAATGTAGAATGCCAAAAAACAGCAGTGCAGGAAATTTAAAGATATTTCCTGAATTGCAAAACAGCAAATCTGACATTTTTTCTCTGTGACAGCTGAAATTTCTAATCCAAATACTTCAAAATTGAATAGCAAAAACATCCATTCATTTTCTTAACGAAATGTCCAATTCAGGATTCAGGGTTGCAGCAGTGCTGGAGCCTGTCCTGCTGTCAAAGGGGTGAGATGCAGGTAGACCCTGGTCAGGTCACCAGTCCATGGCAGGGCTAACCCAGAGAACAAGAAGACAAATTCATGCTCATTTTCACACCCGTTGCCATTTTAGAATCACCAATTAGCCTCACATGCATGTCTTTGGACTGCAAAAGGAAGCCGCACAACCTGGAGAGAACTTATTAAGGCATGCAGAGAGCATGGAAACTCCACACAAACAGCCTACAGAAGCTTGTTTCCCCCACAGAAAAATATATATTTTTTTGCCATCCGCAAGTCAAAATTCTGACTTCCTCAGAAGTTTTTTTTTAAAGATTTTTGTTTGATTTAGACAGAAAAAGATAGACAGGAAAGAGACTGGGAGGGGTAACAACACATAACAAAGAGCCGCAGCAAAGGCTGCTGCATTTCAGCCATATGGGATACAGTCGCCTGCTTAACCAGCGAGCTAGCTCTCTAGATTTCAAATTCAGCAAAATGCTATTTTGTTTTCAGTGGCTTCCATATCAGCTAGCTGGTGGATTCAGACTGAGGACCTTTTTGCTGTTAGGAGACAAACCATTGCACCGCTGTGCCTCTTTAGCACGATTCATTCAGCTTCTTACCTGCTCGTGCCAACTGTGGTTGGTCTGCGTCATGTAATGTCGCATGGTGGCACCTTGAAGGCGAAGGGCAACGAGGAACTCCTGTGAAGAGAACAAGAAATGAAAAACCAAAACAACAACAATAACAATAACAGTCATCATCATCACTATCAGGTATATGAGGACATGCCTTGACATTTCTCTGAGGGTCCAGTGTGATTTTGATGGCTGTGGATAACATCTGCACCTCTCCCTCCCTGCCGCTCACACTGCTCACTCCCACCTCTGTGGGGTAGATGGTGAGGTCCAGGTGCTTTGGGGGCATGAAGCTGGGCATTTCCAACCGCTGCGGGATGGGGGTGTCCTTCAAGACAGCTGTGTTTGTGTGGCATATGAAAAAGTTAACTGCATACTTAGTGCATAACACACACCATGCTGAAACTAAATGTCTTTAAATAACACAACAATGCGCACCTCGATGGTAGAGCTCCACTCGTCTGCTCTCCAGACACAGGAAACTGAGATTGGGGTCATTTTGGTGCTGCGCTACACTGAATATCTTCCCCCCTTCCAGATCAAGCACGAGCTCTCCGTGACTCTGGTCCTCCTGAATCAATAACATCAGTGTCAGCAGAACAATACATGACGAATACACAGTTAACAATGGAAAAGCATTTTACACATCTTCATGATGAT